TAAAACTAATTTCCAGTGTGACAAAAACTAAAACCACTTGGGCGCCTTGGACTGAGTTGGTTAATCAACACAGAAGAGGGGTTGAGTCTGGAGAGTAACAGGCAGCTCAGAATCTCTGTGCAGGAAGTAACAGTATCTGAAAGTTCCCTTGTAAACAGGTGTTTTTGAGGAAGGATTTGTCTTTAACAAATATTTTCAAGTGCAGTAACAAGATGAAACACCACCTTGGACACAGTATTCTACTCAGTGCCTTTGAGTGAGTCTGTTAATGTTAGTGATTTGAAGCGGACTAATGCTGTGACAGCTGGAAGTAGACATCTCCCTGGCAGCAGATACACTACCACAATGCACTTGTTTGATTTCAGTGGGGGCAGAAGTAGAGAGAGGAAAAGCAGATTTTGATTGGCGTCATTGTAGCAACAGTTTATCATTTAACTCATACCAGAGGAGTTGTTCCTGGGAGGACGAAACCGGACTTTCTTATCCATATCCTCCTGAGTGTGTGTTTGCAGGCTGACCTTAGACCCACTTGTCACCCAGTCTGACCCAGTCATCCCTTTTGTGTCTGTAGGGGATTATCTGGCTTCAAGTTAATTCCTTAGAGACAAGGCTCCATGTTAGATAGGCGACACAATGTGCTGTCTAAATTACCACACAGTTCCAGCAGTGTTACACAGGCTATCAGGCTGATTTTGTTATTTTATATGGGCTGACAGTAACATCACTGTCACAGTTGAATAAGAAGCTGCCAGTATTATCACTGGAAAAACAGTGCTGCCCTGCACTGTATTTAAGAACTGCTGTGGTCTGTGGTAGAGTTTAAGCACCCATTGTTGCAGCTATTGCTGTAACACATTTTTTCACTCCCCATCTTTTATGGAGCCAGTGTTGTGAAAAATATTTGACACTGACGTTTGGGTACAAACAGAAATAAGGAAGCAGCTGTGCCCTTAAGGACAGAAGCCAAACAGCAGACGTTTTCAATGATCTCTGCTGTTTGGCTCATCACTTCTCCCTTTTTGTGCATGAATACAGTACTTATTATAATAATTATGAAGACATTGTGTTTGTGTGATTTATATTTTGTCACTGGGTTTCAGCTGTGGTATTTTTTCTACTTCTGCCAGACCATAATCAACCATAATCAATGTTTCCAAAGATAATGGAATATAATCAATGACAGTCTGTTTTTAGAGGTTGTGTGCAATTGAAATGTTAAAACATGATCATAAGGGAAGCTAATTTATGAGAGTTAGGCAATGAAATTACAGTGCTCCAAAATGATCCCCTCGGTTGCTTTAATGCAACATTCGCCTGACGAACGTCAGCCCCACGTTTGCCTTAAAACAGCTGGGATCAGCACTCTTCGATCTCCCAGTTCCTTCAGCCTAATAGCTCCAGTCACCGATAAGCTTTGTCCATCCCTGTCAGGTAATTGAAAATCTCCCAATCTTCAGTTAGATTGTAACTGATTGAGATCATAGGACCAAATGTGCCACCAAAATGCTTCAGGTACATTACAAGCTGCTCTTTATAAAAAGGACCATCATCTTACAACATTGATGTGTCACAGTGAGTAGGTTTCAGTGAATTTACGTCAGTTGTCACAGGGTGTGGATTTTTGTCAAACTCGTGATAAGGTTTCTATGGTCACTCACATTGTAAATATTAAAATTGTGTTCAGGATCAAATCTTAGTCGTGTATTTTGTACCATTGTTGTAATGTAACAATGATTTACTGGAGAAAAGTGTTTGCGTAAGATGTGAACTGACTTGTGACAGCACTGAATGTTCTTTAGCTGCCTAGCCAATGGGCTTTGAATGTAAATAAGACACACTTACAAAAAGCCAAAAATTGGGTTAATTTGATTTAGTCTCGCCCTCCATAAACATATAGATTAGAGAAGGACTACTGGAGTTTATAACAGCTCCACTTTCTACCATATACAGGAAAGTCTTTTAAAACAATGTTGAGTTACACTGGCTGCACCTAGGCAGACTCCAGTGATCGCTCTTATCTGCTGACTCACAGCTTGACTCGGCTTTTTACGCACTTGGAGCTCAGTGTTTATTTAGGACACAACATTGTATGATAGCGACCTCAGCGGAAACTAAACCATTAGTATTTTCACTTCTTAGTACATAGTGTTATGTTTAAATTGAAATAATTTTAATCTGTTAAGAAATACTGCCAACATTTCACCAACCATTAAGGATTACATAAAGTAAAATTTGTGTCCAAGGAAATTGGACCATTTTTGCAGCTGTGATTACTTATAGAGGAGGTCTTTTTGCATTGTTGTTTTTAAACTCTTTATTACAGGCATTAATGAGATAATGATGAGGTCATTAATATTGTTGTTTTTGTTCACTGTAGGAATCAGCCAGAACATCTCGGAGACAACTTCAACTACACCTCCAACCAACAACACAACCATGACTACACTTCCAACCAACAACACAACTATGACTACATTCCAACCAACAACACAACT